TTCTTCTTATAATGACTGCATCTTCTAAATACTACAACTCTCTACTGATGATTCCGAGCGTGACTGCGAAACCGCAGGCGAATGTAGCTCTTGTTCCGGTGACCGTGTTTACTCCTTTGCCACTACGGCCGTCGTCGGCATGCCTGGCCTGTCTCATTCATGAGCAGTTTAGTGGTCTAGACGGACGAAGGAAGAAAGTGCGGTCGATGCTGCGGGAAATCGACTATTACTTAAACCTAGTTCACTTTCAAGTCACTGCATTAATCTGTGAATAGGGGGAGCCGTTAATTGTCGTAGGTATAAAGTAATATAGCGACCGTATCCTATAAATACGGCAACTCCCTGTGAATGAATTATCCGTTTCTGCTATTGTCTCTGATGAAGAATCAGCAACGCATGTCGAAATGTCATGCGAATAAAAATTTTGTCCTAGCGATCGCATTGCCTTCTTCTCAATTACTTCCTGGGACTCGCATTTTCGCTTTTATTGGCAATGCTCTACCCTTGGCCGGAAGCTTATGGTCTGAAAGCCAGTCATTTTGCAGCCTGGCATCTTTAAGCCAATTTTTTTGCCACCGGCGATATTATTCCGCGGGGCGGAGTAAGGTTATAATAGTGGTTATGTGCAAGCGATTTTCTGATATCCATCCTATGCAAAATAAGTTTTTCTTTTGTAGGTTTTCAAAATCGCCACAGCAACTATATACTACGTAGATGCTTGGTTCGACGGTTCAGTACAGTAAAGTTTAATTAAGGAAAGGATAGGCGAACGTCCTTGAAGTCCCTATTGGTAACAAATTGGCTAGGAAATGTATCGATACAAAATGTGCGTCGATTACATGATTGCAGGGATGAGCGAGCAGCTTTTGGTTTGCCTCAAGATTTATCTTATTTGGCTATTCACGTAGAACAAGTAGTATAATAATTGCAGGTAATTGTCTGGCCACAGGGATAAGTGTGGAGCTGGTACTTGCCATTTGTGGTAGGTTTTTTATTGTCCCCCAGCCAGTATCGCCATTCAAACCATTTACTCAAATGCTCTATAATTTGTTGCCTATGGTTAAGACTATTTAATGTGTCTACTTATCAGTCCTCCTGACTTTGAAGGTCCGAGCCAGACCAATCAGCTGCCAGATAATTCACAGGGTGGTTGAACTTCACTAGGCGGGGAATTTGTTCTTTTTCTGGATCCTAACTGCTTGATCTTCTCTTATACAGGTACTTCAGTTTTATTCACAACATCTCCGGCTTCAACGACTACGAAAAAACCTACGGCGATTGGTTTAACTACGACCTGCATCCGCGCGCACAGATATTTAAACGAGATCACGTGAAAGTCGACTCGCTGGCAAAAATGTATCGCCTGATGCGGTGAGCTTTACTTCTTTTCACTTACTGACCATGTCTGATCAAAATAATTCCTTCGAGGTTTAAAACTCAGGTCCATTTCATTCAGTATTCACAAAGTATATTAGACACCTAGATGGAATAATGGAACAAAAATGAGTAGTAAACTGCCTTGTCAAAAATTTTACCTATTTAGGCCCTTTGATGACCCATTCCAGTTCACATTGGGCTCACGTCTGCAATAAATTCCTTGGGGATAACAATTTAAGCGTCGTAAGCCTAACGCCCAAGTTACTGCCTCTAACCCCCCCAGCCCTCGCCTCTCCTGGAATTAAACTCGTACTCGTTCCCTATCAAACAGTCCTTCAAGTCCTGACAATTTCAGTCTCAATCTGGGCGATCGTGCGGCTTCTACATAAACGCCTCTTTCTCTCTCATAAACTGCCAGTAAGATCATCAAGCAATTGCCTCTGACTCCTGCTGAAGCAAGAACTCATAGACAACGCAAAAGTTAAGAACCTTCGGTCTCTGGAAGGCCAAAGACGAACCTTCCCCTCTCTGGTTTGTAGCAAAGGGGAACCAGGGGAGATAGGCGCTGATTGGTCGGTTAAGGGACTCACTCCTCCCGTCGTACCTTGGGGCTCACTGTTGACACCCACAAGCACCCGCATAGCGGTGGCGTTAGCCTTCTAGCCGACAGATCACGGGCTCGAACCTCGGGTGATCCACAAATGGGATTGGATATGACTGGCTGATGATGGCCGATACGTCAGAAATGGCCATTCCGGTCTCCCTTTGCTTTTTCGGATCCGTTTCATCCTATTCAATTAATTACACGCCTGATATGAAAACGCTCATTTTTGTGACATTCGTATCCGTTAAATCCTATTCGCTATAGTCGATTGCATTCTGAACAATACAAAAGCCGAAGATTTACATCGAATTCACACCTAATCGAGCACCAAGCAGTTAACTTTTTGCCTTATTATATATTACACTGATTTCTTGCATTATACTTGTGCCGGAGATTACCAAAAAGACATTATTTCACATTTTCTGTGCTCACTCTGTTTCGTTTACTCCGTTGAGAACGAATTTTTGCGCTTTTCTCACGGATTCTTTTTTCAATTTTTTTTACCAACGTCATATGGCCTTAAATAATTTGTCTGTTTTTGTTTCACTTAAGTGGCTGTCGTGCATTATTGACGGGGAGTTTCGATCGTTCCGAGTGATTAGAGATTTTTCACGAATGTACGCATATTTCATGACTTGCATCACCCACAGTACGCACTCCTGATTCGATGACCTTCGTGCGCGCATTGCCAAATGAAGTGGTACAAAGGCTCCAACGACTTTACGAAATACATTTGCCGCGAATTAATTAAATGTAGACCTGTAGACCTCGATGATACCATGGCACGTATTAGTGTCCCTGTTGATTAGAAATTGATGCTATTTTGCTTTCGACCGCAGGTACAACGACTTCACGCATGATCCCCTGTCTCGTTGCAACTGCACACCACCCTACAGTGCTGAGAATGCGATTTCTGCTCGAAATGATTTGAATGACATCAACGGTACCTACCTATTTCCGGCGTTGGCTTATCGTCTGCACGGCGCGACTGATGTCAAGCTGGTGAACTTGGCCATGGCGACGAGTGTGAGTTCTTATTTGTAATATTAACGCCTACTTTATTGTTTTAAGTAGTGCATTTGTTTCAACCTTAAGTGAATACGTGATTGCTTTGTGGTTGTAGACGAGTATGATCGCAGTTAGCGGACCAACTTACGACGACGTACCCCCGTTCCAGTGGTCGCGCTTGAACCCACCGGTATCAAAGCCGCTAATGCACCCGGACAAATGGATCTTTCCTCCCCTACTCATTCAGGTGAAGTACCCAGCGAACATCCCCGTCTTCATCGTTCAATTGGTCGACTAGTTCCCTTTACGCCAGGTCTCGATCCCTGTGACTTGTTTCTAACAGACACTCCAGGTCTTCCACTTAAAATCGTAAATTATTCATTGAGCAACTTTTGTCTATACCTCAACTGTATTACTGTAATGCTACTCAGCTGTCCATTAACATTTTAACACTTCACTCACTTTCTATATTTTGATGTAATTTGCATGTTTTCTGGAGGAAAATAAACCAATTACAGCATGCGTGTTCCTCGTTCTGTCAATGCGAAAGCTAACGAGACGGTTCCTCGTTGATGAAGGTTTACAGACTGCTAACGGAACTCGCATATCCCACTCTGCCTTGGGTCTCGTTTCTCGGGCCGTGACAGCAGCCATAGCGGCTAGTAGTCTTAGGCAAATAGTATTGCCGGCAAAGACAAGGGAGACTGGAATGGTCAGACAGAGATTTACATGAAATGGGCGTGGAGAATTCCAAAATTTTAAACAAGCGTTAACAGTAGGATTTTTATTGAATTCAATAAATTTCGCGACGCCTTTTCAGCAGCATCCCGTCGTTGCATGAGTCAGATGAGGGATAGAAGCATACAGCAGATTGAATTTCACAGAATGTCAATGTGTAACAGCAGTGGTCATAGTTCCGTGTAAATAATGATCATTTGGAAGGCACTACATTAAATCAGCCTATAGGGCGAATGGGGGGAGGAGAGGAAGTTGACGCAAACCAGGTCGAGTTTAAAACTAGGCGTCCAATTACCAAGGTAATTGGAGATTGACCACGTGGTCTAGCTGCTTGCACAGGTCAGGTTTCTCTCGCCCTATGTAGGCCGCTTCCATATAGCGCAGAGTTCGATTTTTTTCGTGCCCGAACAAGGACGCGGAAAGCTGTTTTGAGGTCGGTAGAGTGACCGCTGTCTAGCAGGTGTTTAGTAATCAAAGATCGTGGTATTATGTCTTCTTGCTTGAAAAGCCAATTAAGCAAGTGTTCAGTGGCCTTGATTGCCAGCTGCCTTTGCGTACGTCCAATGTACATACTTGCATTCGCAAGTGAACGCGAATTAAAGGATACAATTTAGGGTGGTGTGCAACAGCAAGGCATCCTTTACCCCCTTTTATCGGAAGGCTTTTCGTAGGACTGATAAAGACAAGGTCAGTTGCGTTGTACGTCCTAATTATGGTACAACGAACCCGTCGTTTGATTGTGTTCGAAATATTATCCCCTTTAAAGGGTAGGGATACAATTACGGACATTTGGAACTGACCGTTCCGTCAATTTTGGCCGTAAATGATTGCCATACTTTTGGATGCAACGTGAGGATAGCCACGGTTACGTAGGGCTGCTTTAATGCGGAACAGTTCTGCAGGTAGAGTCTTACTAGAGCAAATATTCCTCAATCTTTGAAAGAGAGTATGTACCAGATTTCGTTTCCATTGCACTGTCGCAAAACTGGTAAAGTGTAGGTATTACCCTCTCCAGGTAATTTTGTGAAATACCGAGCGCCCTATTGGAACATCATCCTCTCTAAACATAAGGACGTCCAGGAAGGGTAGCTTGTTGCACCGCTCCGTTTCTATTATAAGTTTAATTTAATAAGGTCATCGGCGTCTTCTTTGGAATCGACAATCGTGAATATATCATCCATGTTCGACCGAAGATAACGCCTCGTCCTCTCTCTCTCTCTTACACATACCTAAAACAGGAAATGTAATTAAATTAACTTAAATACTGATTTCCCGGTATCATTGCAATAAATATACAGTATAACTCGAGCAAGCAGTAACAAAAACCTTCTGCCTATTGAACGCGGTTATTTGGACTTTTACTAATTGGTGGTTGGTCGGGAGAAAAACTTCAACCACGCAGATGACGATAGTCCACTATGGGAATAGTGGGTCCGAGTACAGCAAGATTTTACCGTCTCAACTCCTGACCAGGTTTTACTTCTCGCTGGCGTTACTGGAAGCTTGGCCGGCTCTTCATTTTCGACACGTTTACTGTCAGTATCAATCAAATTTTTAAATGACTAGCCGAACATGTCGACCTTGGACTGATCGATTTTTTTCTCTTTCGCACAAATACTCAACAAAATACAGTATGAACCCTCTGTCTCAGCAATTTAGCTCTGTCTGTATTCTATTCCAGAGAACTGAAACATGCCAGCTGATAAAAGAGCTGAACAACCATATCTCTGTGGCCCCGTGGATACTTAATTTCAACCAAAGCAAGTGTCAAATGAACAGCAACTGTAACTCTGGGGGGCATGCCCTACAAAAAAAGGAGTCTTCGGAGCAGTCTCTTGAATGTCACGATCTGCCGGAGTAGACATAGCCATTGATC